CTTGAAAGACTTTTTGCTTTAGAAAAAAAGTTCATATATCCATATGTTAGTTATGAGCCCGAAATGTATACAAATAAAGTTTTTTTTTTAAGGCACTGATATTGCTAGTGGTCAATACAATGTCTTTAGGTTGAAAAACAGTGCCAAGTGAGTTTCTTATGTTTTTAGCCAAGGACTTTTACAATATTACACAAAACTAGATACAAAAATGACAACATGTGTTACATCTTCACCAGATAAACATGAGATGCTAAGTGAGATCTCTCGGTCATCCAATAATTAAGGGTATCCTCATAGAAGTTACACATTGGATGCTCAGGACAACATTTGCCAATCATGAGAAAATCATGATGTCACTATAGGACTCTAACACACATTCATTGCTTTGCTAAGGGATTTCCAACACAGAGTTATTCAAGGAACAATGAATCAATCAATGGAGCAGATAACAGAATAACAGAGTTGGAAAGGATTTTGGAGTCTTCTGGTTTAACCCCTGCTCAAGCAGGAGACCCCAATCATTTCAGATAGCTGGTGGTCCAATCTCTTCTTTAAAACTTCCAGCAATGGAGCACCCACAACTTCTGAAGACAAGCTATTCCACTGGTTAATTGTTCTCACTGTTAGGAAGTTTCTCCTTAATTCTAGGTTGCTTCTCTCCTTGATTAATTTCCAAACATTGCTTGTTTTGCCTTTTGGAAAATAGATTGATAACTCTAAATCTAGAGTTGGTCACATACGTAGAAACGTTGTCATTCCAATCAATATTTCGTATCTGTCCATCCATTCTTTAGGGCAGGAGCCTTCAAACTTGGCCCTTTTATGACTTATGGACGTCAACTCACAGAATTCCTCAGCCAGCATGCCTGGCTGAGGAATTGTGGGAGTTGACATCTACAAGTCATAAAAGGGCCAAGTCTGAAGACCCCTGTTCTAAAACCACTTCTAACCATTGCAAAGAAAATGTCATGAATGCATCCAGACAGCCCCTGGAGACAAAGTTTGATTCAAGAATCAAGGTTATCTTTTATTTGTGTATTTATTACTAAACTTGGGGCAAAGAAAACAGATTGTTATGAATGAGAGAACTACTACATGAGGAAGACTACCAATAACAATCATGTTTTGTGGTTGGTGATTGGGAAGAAAAGTAGTTTAGATTAAATAAAAGTACAAAAAGTCAAATATTTCCAGTCAGATGAGCAAGAAAGTGCTATAAATTTCAGCAGGTCTCTCTCTGAGATAGTTTGGCTATCGTTTCATTTCCCCAAAGTCATCCCCTGGCCAGCCAATAAACTAAGTCCCAAACAGAAAAAGAAACAAGAATGTAGAGTAGACATTTATGAGTCAGCTGGGCAGCAAATGAGTTTTGGAAAATGTTGTGGTAGCTAAGTCATTTCAGAAATAATTCCTATATGCCATTAAAAACATAATACCTATTTCATTCTTTAAAAAGCACAAAATCCATCCATCCCGTCCTCAATATTGCATGAAAATCTGCATTTGTGGTCCCTTCTACAGAAGCCACAACCATTCTGAATTATCTCCAGTTTAAACATCTCCAAATGATCTTGAAGCCAGTTGAGGATTCATATGTAAGTGTTGTCATATAATTATGATCAATAGCAATCCACAAGAAAATCCTGAGTCTTTCAGCATATGCCTGTTTCCAAAAATAGAGACTTACTTGCAGAACAGATCTTAAAAATATGGGCATAGTTAATCGATATTAACTTGGAAATCTTTCAAACTCCACCAAAGAATCCTCATATATCTAAAACTGCCATTTGTATTTTGAAATTTGCAGTAAAGAAGCCAATCAAGTACATAAAAGGCTAAAAAAAAGTAATATTTCAATTCCAGATACTTAATTCACTGTAAATTATAGGGAAACACTATTTTTCCCTCTTTTGGATGGTTTACTAAGACAAAGCATTACAACCAGCATATTTCCTTTTTTTATATCAAATAATTAGCTTAACATGCCAAAAGATTCACCTAGCAAATTCTAATCCACAATGATATTGCCATCTAGGCACAAGCATTCAAATGTTTGTTTGTGTGTGCATGTTTATGTGTGTGTGTATACATACACACACTGTCATGTATGCAAAGAATTGTGAATTTCATTAAATATATTAACAGAAGGGGAAAAAATTCAGCTTTGAAAAACAGTAATCCCGTCTTTCAACAAAAATCTTATAGGAAGCTATGAATTTGGTAGATCTGAATAGGCTGTTGGTACATGTTTTACTAAGGTAATATAATGGCACACTATTATTAGATCACATTAATCATTACGATGCCAAAGGCAGTGACAGCCTCACTGAAAAGGATTGAAAGGGCTGGTAATGGATATAAATTACCCATTGTGTGATAAAAGGATTTTTACTAAGAAGGTAAGAATAAAACAGCAAATTTCTAATATAACTCTTGTGGGGAGAAAAATTCTAAATAAAAGTAATCCTCTATTGGTAATATCCACAAAAATCAAAAACTAAGCACTTCCTAAAACAAGATAAAGTCACATTTAAAAAAGAAAGAATGAAAAAGAAGAGTATGGTATGAAATTAATTTCTTAGCCTTTAATATTGCTATCAGTTTAAATGGTTTATGGGATGACCTCTAAGGAATATGGTCAAAAGGAAAGGTAGATTCTGCTAATTAGAACTAAAGATGGCTTTATAGAGATTTGTTAAAGCCCCTTAGCAGAATCAAATGTGGATTACCGGAACCCCAACATTATAAGATGTTTTATGAGATCCGGTTCAATTACCTCATTGTCTTTTCACAGGAAAGCTACAGTTCTGTATTCTTGACACCAAAAAATTCTAGGCAGATTTTATTTGTATTGTTTTACTACTGTTATTGTGAAAAGAGAATCTGTCCAGATCAGAAGACTACTTTGGAAATATATTATAAATCAGTGCCCTTACTTGCATGTAATTTAGATAATGAACCATAAACCCAAATTAGCCTCCATTTTATTTTCTTCCCATGATCATTTCAGAGAACAGCGCCATCCTAAAATATAAAGTTAAACTGATGTGCTGTTGATTTCATTAAGATTTCATCCTGGTAAAATGGAGAGTTGTAGTCTGAATTTGAGTGGGAGAAGGTGGGATCAAGACAACTCAGATGTTCAAAGATTATGAGATAGATAAGGAGGAAGGGAAGAGGAAGAACAATAGATTAATCTGTTGTAGATCATCCTCTGTTAAATGGATGCTTGGGTCTTTGATAAGGCAACTGGTTAGCTACGGGACCATCTATTAGAATACCCAGGGAGAAATTATTGATAATCCCACAATTTCAAAACATCAGGTAGATACTGAGCAGTCCATGATGGAATCAAGTTGTCTCTGTCTTTGTTGGTTCCCAGGAAAATGTTAGGAATAATTTAGGAAGATCAAATGTTTTGGAAAGCATTGTCTTAAAGCTTATGGATAAGATTTTTTTTCTTTCCACACATTTTATTTTTTTAATCCTCATTTTGTTTCTCTCTCTTATTTATGTTGTTTTTGATGGTCCTGGATTAGGGTTGATACTGTAATTGCAATTGTGGTTAGTTATAATCAGACCCTAGATATTTTAACATGTTCTATAATCTATGTTAGCTGCCAAGAGTTGTTTGACTTTGGTGGGGTAGAAATATGAAAGAGAAATAAATACATAAATAAGTGAATAAATATTCAGAAGGACAGGGCACTGTAATTGTTCTCAGTAATTAATTTGTGCATACCTGCCTATGTTTTAAAATTAATAAGAATTTTGGAGTTATATTTAGCTCAGTTGCTGATGTGGGATTAGGAATTTCCTTTGGCACGTGCCTTTCATGGATCTTAGCAAGAAGCCCTTTTTGAGTTTGGGGAACTACAAATGATCTACAAGCAGAATCAGGGAGCAGATCCTAGCCTGCATGGCTGGGACTGGGTTCCTTCTGCTTCCATTATTCCTGGATAAGATAATGTTTTCTTCAAGTTGTGGTGGATGGCTTGAGGGACAAAGGAAAGATCAACCAACCAAGACAACGGTTAGATAAATGAATCCTGGACGGATATGTAATCCAAGCAAATGTCTCAGATAATACCCTCCCTAGTTTTCCTAAAGATAAAGGGAGTCGGGAGGAATTCAGATAGGTCTAGGACAACTTGTCTCGGCCAACTCACCCTGCCCTGGTTGTCTCACCCCAGCCAACTCCCCACAGTCTCTTGCCCATTTCCCTTGACTGATAGTTGGTCAGATTTTTGTAGAGAATCTTGTAGAGAGCTTAAGCTTGCAATCTTTATACTCATTTGAACTGCCTGAATCTCCTGATTTTCCCAGCACTTGACAATTACTATTGGATTGTTTATCAGGCAGCAACGTGTCTTAATCTGACTCTTAAGTCAATGGCAAATGAGGGTCTGTCAGAAAAAGGGAAGGTTTTAATGTTTCTACACCATCCCAAGTCACTGCTCTGGGATGGGAGGTTCTGTCAATCATACACTGTAAATCAATCCTAATTCTGTACCAATCAGGAAATCTAGCCCTTCACTAAAAGATATGGCAGCTTGATAATAATAGATCATTAAAAAAAAATACCATGCACACACCTTGAAAAAATAAATGTGGCCAATGCAAATTACAGCTATATTTGAAGAACTCATTTGAGAGTATTGTCAGCTGTGACATGACAATTTTCAATTAGCAGAGTGCGTGCATCAGCCTCTCCCATTGCAAAAAGCCGAATCGGCAGTGGTCATAAAGGACATTTGCTGAAAAGAACCACTTTTCCCAAAAGAGAGGAATCAAAGCAGAGTTGGAATTTTGAAAAGAGGCAGCGAGATTTGTTCAAGTACAAACAATGAAATAAAAATTTCTGTCCATATACATATCATGAAAAGAATAAACACTTTCTTTCTTTATATACACATTGTAAAAAGGATGAAGGTATTAACTTGAAGACACTCGTACATAAAACAGAAATGTCTTATAAAGGATAACAGAACAATTCTTACCAGGTTGATCCAACATCAACAATTTTTTTTCCTGGCTGTAGGAGTCTTCTCAGAGACGAGAGATTAGTACAGAAGGTCAGGAATTGCAAAAACAATACCTGTGAGAAATTTAAAATGCAAAGCCATTGTGTAAATCAAAATCAATTCTCCCTGAAAGACACAATACTACAGTTAGCATATATTGTAGTTACTCTTCCATATTTTTAAAAAAGAGAGAATTATGAATGGAAGCAGCCTAGATATGGGGGATCTGATATTTGGGAAAGTAATCTTTTAGAAAGGGAATTCTTTTCTGATCTGTTAATTGCCTAGAGATCTAAAATGTACTTCCATATTGTTCCCCCCCCCCCGAAAAAAGAGGAAAAATTTAACATGATTTTCCCAAATTAGGAAAAAGTCTTTATGGCTTAACAGATGCCGATATTCTGGTCTCTTAGACTAAAAAAAAAAACATTTTAAAAGTTCTCGTATACAAATAAGTTCTATTATATAAATAAGCAGTCTTTCACAGATGGTGGCAAACTCATAAATTCCATTTGGAGGAGACCGTAATGCCAGCAATTAAAACCAAGATAAAGGCTTTCTTCTAACAAATTTAAGATTATTTCATTAAATCGGAGGAATTAACCAAACTCCCAATACTGTTAAATCCGTGCATCAAACTTTTAGAATGTTTTTTTTAATAGAATATAGTAATACCGAGAAAATCGAAAGGCATCAAAAGTAATGGACCATCCTTATTTTTAGGAGATTGTGGACAGACTGTTTAAGATGTAAAAATCCAGAAAGTTAGAAGACATTTGTGTTTGAAAGTTTATTTCCGAAGTTGAAGGAAACCATGAAATAAGAACAATCCATTATTGGAGTGTTACATGCCGTGTTATCTTATGTTTGCAGATTTTAAAAGGGGCATAACTATATACAGTATATTGGAATAAATCAGGTGTAGTTAGTCTCAACTTACAACTATTCGTTTAGTGACTGCTTGAAGTTACAACAGCACTGAAAAAAGGATTAATGATCGGTTTTACGACTGTTGCAGCATCGCCATGATCAAAATTTGGGCATTTGGCAAACTGGCACGTAAATATGAGAACTGCATGGCAGGGCCACGAAATCACCATTTGTAAACTTCCCAGTTGTTAAACCAGTAAAGAAATTTATATACACATTCCCATTCTTCCCTAAAATAAACTTTTCCTCTCTCTCCATTGCTCCAGACAAAAATGATGTATTCTTTGCAAACACAGGGTATCTTTCCTTTTCAGCTATGATCAATGTATACATAAAATTAGGCAATTTTTAATACCTAATATGTATCATTATTTACTTATACTAGGCCAAGTTTACATACTGTGCTATAATAGAACATCAAACAATAGTTTTAATGGGGAACACCTACGATTCTTTCATTTAAAAACTGGGAGGAAAGAATGTTGAAATAAAAGTATTTTCCTAATATTCTATATGTTAACCATCATTTAATACATTAATTACAAACTGATTCATTGCTTAGTTTATCGCTTAGTTTGTTTTGTGTATTTTATACAATGTTTTTAATGTATTTTTAACTTATTGCTTTAATTGGCTCAATTTTATTGTAAACTGATTAAGATTTTTCTTCAAATGAGAAGTGATATGAATTGTTTTGAATAAATAAATAAATTTAAATAAATTAAATAAAATCTTAATAGGCTGTATAAGTTTGCATATGAAGGCATATTTCAACAATGTCTGGAGGACTGAAGTATTAGCACTGCGGTAATGCGCAGCCTGTTTTGATCTTTGCTGGAGAAAGAGTAAAAAAATCTACCTTCACAAAGATAAATTGAAGTTACTCTACGGTAAGATGGACAGTGTAGGAGGTGACCGGGCTGAGCCTGAGGGATAAGTCAAACCATGGTCAGTCATGAGTCTCTTCACTCCCACAAGAGGATTCAGTCCAGCCCTCCATGAATTCCATTTATTTATTTATGAGACTTATATACCGCCTTAAGTGCAAGCACTCTCTAAGCAGTGTACACCAGTAAGCAATGTATATATATATATATATTTACATTGCCCCCAACAATCTGGGTCCTCATTTTACCTACCTCGGAAGGATGGAAGGCTGAGTCAACCTTGAGCCGGTGAGATTTGAACCGCTGACCTGCTGAACACAGTCAGCTAAAGTGGCCTGCAGTACTGCACTCTAACTGCTGCGCCACCTCGGCTCATTTGACTGCCAATTTGCTTTGACCATTAGTAGTTCAGAGTCTTGTAGAGAACTTAAGCTTGCAATAAATTTTCATACTCATTTGAACCGCCTGGACCTTCTGATTTCTCTGGCACTTGACAGGCAGCCAATACATTTGATAAATAAAATTGAAAGAAAAGATGGTAGGTCCTTCAATATTATTAATTATGAGACTTCATATTCTTCAAGAATTTTTACCCAAATATCTTTTTTGTGATTTGTGGTCCAGTTTTTTCAATGTGACAACATCTCTTCATTCAGGGAGACAAAATTGTTCTGCTAGTGAAATTTAATAATTTTCAACAGTATAGAAAAATTCTCCTGGATCTTTGAACCAAGTTATTGAAGACTGCCAAATTCTTTGGGAAGCACCGAGTTCCACTCAACATTACACAAGAAACCCTACCATCCTGTGTGTGGATGGATATGTTTCATGTAACACATGAAATTGTAGAACATGATCCGTGGCTTAATACATTCCTTAACAACCTGGGCAAACTCAGCCATCTGAGGTTTGTTTTACAGCTGTCAGGTTCTTTGTTTTTGGCAGGTGTTTCAAACTGAAAGTGATTCTTTCCAAGCTTAAGTATCTCAGAATTCTTTTTAGCAAGAGTTATTGAGAAGAAAGGCATACAGCACTAAACCGTTTCCCATTTAAAATCAATATATCACTGTGTAACTTACAGTAGACACTGTTCAATTCCCTTTACAGAAGCCTTTCTATAATCTGTCAAGCAGGTCCGTCTTTACACTAACAACGAAAAGCTGGCAGTAGCTGTTTACATAATCATCTCCTAAATCTTGATCAGGCTGAGACCAACTGCTAAACAGTCATGACCTCTTATCCCGAATCTACAAAGCCATTACTCACTTTCTTTTTCCTCTCCAAGGTGTTGTTGTTGTTGTTGTTGTTGATGAAAATAAAATGTTGCCTCAAACTAACCCTAGACATTGATTTGTGGCTAGCTCCTGCTGTCTCAGGTAGGAAGCCTGGCATAACATGGAAGGAAGCTGGTCAGATACTGAAATGGTATGGTGGATAAAGTAGGAATGTCCTTGAAAAACAGAAAGAAGAGCTGCAGCATAGGCAAGAATTGGATAAGAGGCAACTGACCCACAGAAGAAATGAGTATGTGGCAAACCATTGGACAACTCTGTTATTCCGTTAAACATCTCAGAAGGGAAGAAGCAAGAGATGGACTTTCAGACTTGCAAGATTCTATTAAAGCAACATAGAACATGGAATAACAGAGTTGGAAGGGACCCTGGAGGTCTTCTAGTCCAACCCCCTGCTCAAGCAGGAGATCCTATACCATTTCGGACAAATGGCTGTCCAGTCTCTTCTTAAAAACTTCCAGTGTTGGAGCATTTACTGCTTCTGGAGGCAAGTGGTTCCATTGGTTGATTGTCCTCACTGTCAGGAAATTTCTCCTTAGTTCCAGGTTGCTTCTCTCCTTGGTTAATTTCCATCCATTGTTTCTTGTCTTGCCCTCTGGTGCTTTGGAAAATAGCTCGACCCCCTCTTCTTTATGGCAGCCCCTCAAATATTGGAACACTGCTATCATGTCCCCCCTAGTCCTTCTTTTCCTTAAACTAGACGTACCCAATTCCTGCAACCGTTCTTCGTATGTTTCAACCTCCAGCCCCTTAATCATCTTTGCTGCTCTTCTCTGCACTCTTTCCGGAGTACAAAAAAGTTAAAGGTATTATTTCTAGGTGTGCTTCTTATCTGGACTACCCCACAGGTCTGGCAGATGTTCAAGTCAATACAAACTTCAGATGATTTGGCTCTACCTAAATCTATTGCATTAAGTTTTCTATCTTTTTACCTGCCGGTCTGAATTTTAAAATAAAATAGTTATATTTGTTTTCCATGAGCTGGAGAGAAACCTTGAAGCTCAGAGAACTTACTTTGCCAATAAACCTGTCACTTATTTTCTGGTAGCCCTTGTCTGGCATTTTGAAACCTGCATCCAAAATTAAGCCTGAGAAGCAGACTTTCTACAGAGTAAATATATCTTCTTCTTCTTTCTTAATTCTCCCCACCTCCAAAATAAAATTATGAATAACTCGTTCACAAAGGAAAATACATTTTTTCCTCCAATATTGGAATCACTCAACGTGTATTATTGTCTGTTATGAGGTTATTGTTATTAGTTGATCCTGTATCTTCCCCATTCCAATAAGAAATGAAATCTGAAACTGTTGATTTTCCCATTGAAAAATACGTAGCTGTAGTCTGCACTTTGCATACAGAGTTAATTATTCAACATTCTGCATGGCTAAATTGTCAGCTCAGGCATATTTACTCAGTAGTAATCTTTAGTATAACCAATAGGTTTTATTTCCAATAAAGAGTTGCCTACAGAACTAATTACTCATATAAGTTTAATGGTATCATTCAAAAACTTTCTTGTCTTGATCAGCATTAACCACAACACTGATTATATAGTTTTCACTTCAGAAGCAAGGAATCCTCTTCATCCCATCCCTACTTGCAATCATTTACAATCACATTTGAAAAGAAAAAAAAATGTAATTTTAAGGTGAACAGAGGACCTTAATAAGATGCCTCTTAGTAACAGTTCTGCCGCCGAACAGATGACTAGTCAAAAGAAACCTTGCCTAACAGAAACATTAAAGAAAACAGTTTTAGATCAGTAAACACCAATTTTGAATTCCATCCCAGACCAACCCCAGCAAATCTTTGACTCTTTAAGAAGTCCTGCACTGATTTGTTCAGAGAATTTGTGTCATTGATCTTCACATCAACGTGTCACTTAGAATCTTTTTTTTCCAGTTCATGACTCTTGACGGAAGCCCTGGGGTTTAAAATCTGAAAGTGATTGATAACTTCCTAAA